TGGCTTACACATGCAAATAACTAGATGTTTACTTATAAATACTGAAATTAAAATGAAAGTTATTGTTTAACGTTTGGTGAGTTTAAATAGGGCGTCAAATTTGCTAAGAAATATCTTAATACTATAAATATGTTGAAAAATATTTATAAATTCCAGAAGTAGTCTGATTAAACTTTTGGTTTTAGGTTTGCTCATATATTGCGGGATGGCGAAGTCTAGCGACTCTCGTTATTAACAATATTTAGTATCAATAACAGTGTTTGATCAATAAATTCCTACTTTAGTATGTTTCATATACAATAATTCTTCAGAAATTATTGTAAAAAATAAAAAATTTCGAATCTTATTGCTCTTGTGAATCGCAAATCACGCAGATCACCTGAATATTAAACAACACATGTGTAAAATTCAGTTCAAACATCGACCCATAATTACCAATTACGACAAGCAATTTTTCTGCCAATATCGTTTGCATAAATTACGAATACAAGCGACTAGAAATACTACTCTAAGGGTCATGTGCAAATATTTACAAACATTAATTTATGGCGCGCTACAGGGGAAGCTTGTTCAGTCACATGATGAGAAAAAGAATTTCGTAAAAGTTTAGTATCCTCGCAATACTTGGGGCAGTTGTCTTTGTATCAGAATAAGATAAATACACTAGCAAATAGGATCCTCATTACGTTGCCAAATTAGAGTGTTTTATTGAAACAAAGTTATATTTGATGTTGCAATCACGGTAGGAATTAGTGATGAGTGAGACTGGTCTTGGTCTTGCAAAAAATGTAAGACCAAGAGCAAGACTGCCTTTGATTTGCAAGACCAATAGACCATAAGACTATGTATGCAAGAACAGGACCAAGACCGTGCAACACCAAGACTTTTGCAAGAGTCTTGCGAGAGTCTCGCAAGACCGTGCGGCTGAAATTAATATTTGTTTAAAGTTTCGGCTATATTTAAGCCGTCCTTAGGGCTCATGAAGCTAGTATTATTTCTGCCATGAACAAAGGCAACATGTCACCAGAGGTACGTATATTGTTAGAATGTTATTTCCTTCCACATGCATATTTAACTAAATATCTACATTGATTATAACTGCAACGTGTGCAGATTTTTCACACATTTAGGTCGTCGTGATATGAAATTTCTTCACAGATATTGTCGCTTGAAAGTTCACAACTGGACTAATCATCTTTCAATAAGACGAGAAGCTTCCAAGCAAGTATCTCTGATGATGCAGGACACTCGGACTTGGAAAACGTCCGAAATATTTGCCTTACGACGACGGCCAAGAATATTCTCTTTTAAGTTTCAAGTACTGGCCGCGAGATATTCGCTCTTATGCAGATTTTTGCTTCAAAATCCTGCGATCAAACTTTATTGGCTAAGGGAAATATCACCTGCCGACGAATTGACAGAAAAACTGATACTAGAGGACATATTTTCTTCAGTTGGCATTAATTTTAGCAGCATATACATGAAATAGACATACAGGTGACATTTAAAGGGCCCTTTACTTTTATGTGTTTTTATATAAGATATATTTCCGTTTCTCCGCTTTCTGTGCTATTGTAGTAGAATAAATTTACTATATACCTGTTTGACAATATCATCGAAGAAATTGGGATTAAAAATGTTATGTAGACAAAATATTAGAAAAAATTCACAAACGCCACAATATTCACAAACGCTAGTCAATCATTAATGTATGGTTTACGACATACGTGAAATAACAAAAGACGTGTTAAGGAGGCACAATAAATCAAAAGTGCGCTTTTAATGCCTCCAAATCAAGCAATTTGGATCCACCTACGTGTTTGGCTTGATATGAAAGGGGTTTCTCTGCAGGAAGTTTACAAATGCAGGTTGCATATCTATATATTACTGTATCGCAAAATTTCCAAAAAATTGCTAAAGGCTGGGGTCGTGATAATTATTTAAAAAAAAAAACAAATCGAATCAGGCTGATCATGATTTTCTATACCTGCAACCTATCCATACATCTCATTCATTAACAACCTCAAAAAGTTTCCTTTAAACGAATACAAAACATAATTATAACAGAGACATAATGTTGACTTTTGTGATACAACTATTTTGAAGTGTCCCACAATTTCAAATATGTGCCAGTCCAACTTAATGTCAGCAGTCAACAACAATGTCTAAAAAGTTCATTGTATTAAGTGAGTCGATCAAATTAAGCTCAATCGATTAACAGAACAAGTAAACAATAGGGAGCAATCAGGACTTATATGACCATTCACAACAAACGGCGGATAACGGCTGGATACTAATTCTCACTTTAACCGGAATTTCGCATCGAAAGAATCGACTTAAAAAATTGACACTGTAACTATCACTTGCGAATTATAATTCTACGTTTATCGTATTAGATCTGTACTGAAAGTATGGGCCAATTAGTTCCACAGTTGGAAACGTTTTCTCCTCAATTCATATATTTTTGGACGAATGCGATGCAACTTAAAGATACTCTATTGAATTCATAAAATGTCCTAACAGATTGAAGTTTAACTATTGTGAGCTTTGCTGATTTTGATATATATTTTTCAGTGAAAACAAGCCAATGAGACCAGGTTTACTTCAAATTCAATAACAAATTGCATTTTAACATTTTTATGTAGGATTTTATATCTGCATGACGATGACCAGTTGAAGTGATCAAAATCACGATATACATTGCCTTGTTTCATTCATTTTGTATAGTGCGAAAAGTGATGGCATATTTTTTAATTAATAACATGCATTCATTTAAGAAATTTATTTTGCGATTAGTGGTAAAATTATGCAAATAAATTAGCTATTACTTACGATGAAATGTTGTTAGGATCAATACGATGGCATGTTACATTAATATTGTATATTGTACACAGTAAAATCAATTAAAAACATTAACGAGTAACATAAAAATGAGGAACATTGGAACAAAAAGAAAAATTATGAAACTAGGTGATAGAAGATGAAGAAACGCATAGGCATTTTCTCAAGAGCATATTATTGAAAACCTATTACAAAATAAATGTGATAAAACGATATTAGCGTTTGGTTAAAATATAACTGACTATATTGTAAATATACAATTCATGATTTGACGATTTAACTAATAATATATTATAGTCCTTTACGCTCGTGGTTCTGATGAGCCTTTTCCCTTGGAATAAAATGTAGACTTCCTCATATAGAAAGATAATAAGAAAAAATGTAGGTCACAAATCACAAGCCATATAAGCTAGAACTAGCCATGAGTTATTTAAATAAGATTTGACTGATGATGATGATGAAAAGCATCGGAAACCACAAACGATTAAAAAACTTTATTGCATAGCAAAACATGTTTGCAAATGGCTTCGCATCTCGATCAGAGATGTGTGAAACAGCTATTACACATTTATTTAATAAACATCAATATATTCTATTACTTAAAATTTCAGGGACTAAATACGTACAATTTAAGACAGTTGGTTTATTTAAGCGGTTGTAAATATGTTTGAGGTCCGAGAAGGTTGGAATGGAAATGCCCACAAAGGGTGTGAGTTAAAAAAACAATTCAATTTGTAATCCGAAATTGAATTATCGTTGACCCACCCTGTACATTTCATAAAACATTAATCACGTATTTATGTTACTTTTGGGTATCGCTAGTACGATCAAGTACATTATTTCTATTTATGATTTACTTGATGGCAATTTTAGTATCTGTTAAATTACAAATTTCCAATAATGAACTGAACTAATGAACAATCCAATAAAGACACAAGTCTGTAGCATTTTACAAATCACAAAAGCAACGCTAATTTTTTAACGATTCTGCTAATGTTTGCTTGTATGTTAGTTAAATAAACTGTAGCGTGGCCTTTTAAGGCACATATATACATCTGCTATGTTAACACATTGGCGTACTTTATTTCAAAGTAATTTTTTTTATAAATATAATTATTTATCAGATATATTTTCACATTTGTCGTTATTAATAATTATGTGCAATTGCCCGGGGCAAATGATTAAAGTAATGCAGCGGAAACTAAATGCGCAAACAAGTGGATTCATTCAGAAACAGACATGGGTATGTGTTATATAATGAACTAACTGAAAAAGATTTAAAATACTACGGTAGCGGTAAAGTCTTGGATCTGGACACTAAGGTGCTAGCAGAACGTGGTAATGTGGATAAAAATCAAAATTATATGTATTCCAATGCATGTAACATCGTAATTTCAGTGAAAATCCTAACATCAAGTGAACCTAAGCAACATCTGATTATAGCATCATTTTTATATTTATTAGTATTATATTATAAAAACGCTCACTTTCTATATTGCGACAATAAAATATAATCGAAAGCAACAATTTTCAAACTTTTAATCTCGATGATGAATCTGATATAAATCTGTTACATTTTGATACAAGTGAATAATGAAACCACTTTTTGCTTAAAAATTACAAGAAAATATGTTTAAACATTTTTTAAATTTCAAGGTACTTTACGTATCAATAAACCGAGAAAAATATATTACCTATTTACTTAAGACAATTCAGTGTCTGTAACTTCCTTTACTTAGAAAATATAATAAATAATCTAGATTTAAAACACAATCATTGAAACAAAGAACTTAAAAATTCATCTACTTATTAAGTAAATATTATTGCGATATTAAAATGCGAAAAATTCAGAAGCAGTCGTATAAATAAAAATACACGAAACTGAAGTGGCTTAACATTCATATAGGCAATCAACACAAAAAAAATTACCCGTTACTCCCATAGCCTAGCAGATAGTGCGTTTCCAAAGATATTTCTAATCTGGAATCTTGACTTTAAAAACACATACAAGAAAACACATGGCCTTCACAATTTCAATACTACAAAAGATATTTATTGCTAAATTCCTGAGTTTTTCTGTCGAACTTACGGAGTACCTCTACTCATGGAAACGTCAAGATTTCCAAGCAGATGGTTGAAAAACAACAATTTCAAATTGTTGATGGCAGATGAGTGATGAATCTCAAGTTGTTTTTCTCGACCAAACTGCGTACGGAAGGCAATGTTGGCATTTTTCCACCTGCATAAACCTAACATCAAATCAGATTCGACCTGTGGATGGAGTTTGGAGCAGTCACAGGATCACCTCTTATGTGTCGTAGAGTGTCCAAGTAATGTATTCTTAATTTATTTCTTGACAGCATTTTCGATTAGCAACCCAACTATATGACTAACACCTTATCTCATAATGTGTTAAATGAATCATAGATTTATTAAAGTAAGAGCGGGTGCTAACCATCAAAATTTATAACAACTTGGAGGCTGATAAGATCGAAAATCACACCCTACACTGCCATGAATGTGGTAACAAGTTTCCCGTACAGATCATTGCCAGTCCCATTAGGCACAAACAATAAATTTGTATGAATTCGTAAGTAAATAAAAATAAATATTTTCTTAACATTATAGGCAATATAAGTTCAATGTGTATCACTAAAAGTGTTCCGCCACTGCGACAGACACAAATAAACCCACATTAGTTTGTAATGGGAGGGCTAAGAAGTCAAATATGGACTACATAATATTGATAAGTGGGAAAAGGACAGAATTCGGGACGTAAGTCGTTTATCATAGCCGTATATTCAGAGACCGTGCATAATAAACACATTTTATCTATACATCGTGTTTATTTGTTTATTATAATGTGACGTCACTTGTTTATTCGACTTGACAAAATTAGAAATATTAGAAGGTTACGAAGTTTCCAATATGCAGGGTTTTTGTCGCGAATATGGTTTTAAGGAAACAATGTTATGAATTATGAAAGTAGCATTGTATAAAATGTTGAGCATTATGGAAGGCGTGGGATTACTAAGGACCCACCTATACGTCTTTTTAAAGAAAACGATACAAGGGTAGTTATATTAACATGGCTCCTGAACATTTGTTTAACAGATGATTGTGCAATCAATGGTATGGCACTATAATGAAATTCAAATAAAACAGTTCTAAACAGGTTTTGTTTTAGTTTAGCAACGGTACATCAATTATGTTACGAGTTAGCGAAGATGTTCAATTGCGTGCTCCCTTCCATCAAAATTACATAATGACATAGTTGTTTACACGAAATATTTGTTTACGCACAACATACTAATACATATGTAGACTTGTACTTATGCACATAACTTGACCTTTGCCGAAACGAAAAAAAACTTCCATTAATTCTCTCTACGATAGCTAATTTAACACTTTACTCAAATTAGCTGTTCGCGTTTACAATTTTAATTTAGTGTCTATTTTTAATCAAATATGATGAAGGAATAAATACGCATACAAAAGCGATCAATATTCCAACTTACAACTCTCTTAAACTAGGACGAACCGATAAACTTGCAACGAAAAACCGTGGAAAAGAAAATATATGTTTGTTTCCCGACCCTTGTGGCACAAAGGAAATTTTAAAGACTGTATATAATTTTAAAGTCATTTCTTTTATCTTTTTCGGGTTTATATCTGTAAAATATTCGGAATTAACTTTTCCTCTAGGGGAAGTTGCACGCCTCTCAGGTTGAACATTCAGTTGAAATCAGGAAGCTTTTTGGGCTGTTATAAATTCGAGTTAAACGGCTTATCGCTCTATGCTTGAGCAAACCTAATATTTGGATATATTTGCTTTATAATTGATATGCGAAACAGTTTAATTATGGTGAATTTAGATTTGGCGACTAACATAGTATTTGGCTATTCCTCTAAAAAAAAATTTGCAATTAAACTTGAGGTGTTGAGAAAGTTGTTCTTACTACGGCAGTATCATTATTATAGAGAAATTTCTATATCACTGACGCGGTAAATTTATCGATACATATCTGACACGACGTCCCGATCATATTTCTTATGTTGAACATTATCCTCCAGAAGTAAAGGAAAAAGTATTATTTGAAGGTAATACAGAGTTATTTAAAATTGGTGTCATTCCTCTGGAGGTGTTGCCTGACCGTGTATCAGGAGTACTGAAAAAATAGTAACAAAATTGATATTAAACGCTGAGAAATTGCAAAAAACTATATCAGAAAGACGGCAGCTGCATGTTTCAAGGTAATCTGCCAAATTAACATTTGGTAAATACCTGTTGCTTCGTATTTATTAAAAACTCCGGTGACGATGAAAAAATATAGAAAGTCACAAAAAAATCAACAGGGTTAATTCAACACGATTCGTTGAATTAACGAGTATGATATTGTAATCGAGAAATTATTCTGTACTGTTATCATAACCTCGAATTGGTGTGGTTACAAATAAACATATATTTCTGTCTTCTACTCCAAACAACAGCTTCTCGTATTTTGTGACTTAACTCTTTTTCAATTTGAACCGGTGTTCAGTACACCATTGATTTAATGTGTCCTTGTGTTCTGTGTATCTTACTGACGTGGCAGGAATGTCGCCCTTCCCCGGTATTTATTTGATGTCTGGGAAAATGTCAGTTCTTGTGCAATGCTTTCGCGTACCCCTGGAAGGCTCTGCTTCAATCATCGCCAACGCATGTTCCTCTGTGTCTGGAACCCGAACATCTATTGTCGTCCACTATCTTCCTGGAGCCAATCTTCCAGTGTATATAGCCCTTTGTTAGCGTAAGTTCTTACTGCTTCAGCTATATTACTGTCTATAGAATTAACGTCTTCCATTAGGCTACCAATCAAACCTGAGACCTTTTCAAAATAATGCTTAATAATAAAATTGAAATTCGACTTTCTTTCACCAAAAATTACAGGGATTTAGGGAATCTTCTCTTTGAATTTTGCCAATAATTTTTGGTGACACTCAGATAAGTTTCTTTACAATTAGAAGAAGTCTCGATGAACTTGGATCAAAAGCTCATATATCACAAAAGCACCATCCTTTCGAAGACTTATTATGACGAAATTATGTGGAGGGGCCAAGGTGCTGTTCACAGATAAACGCCGTATTTTTGTAAATTGGATGGATAACAGAGGAAGATTATTTTGCCGCAAAGGAGAACAACACAAGCAATTCATTTTTAATCCTACTCTCTCCTATGGTAGATTCTTCGTTATGGTTAGGGGTAGAATATATTTTGGGGCACCAACTAACTTATACGATGATTATTAATGGCGTGTTAAATGAAAAGCAGTATACACAAGAGCAGCTTCAAGACCTTGTCATACCTTTCGCCCCATATATCAGAGTTAACTTCTTGCTAATGCATGATAACGCACCATATCGGATTGAGAACCAGGAGGTTGGCCTCCATGTTTCACAGCTTGCGATGGGAGACATGGAGGCCATGGTAAACATTTATGGAATATGATTGGTCGAGGTCTAAGATGTAAAATTTCTGCTGCTTAAAATATCGAGCATGTAAACGCTGCTCTAATTGAGATTTGGGAGAATCTGCCACACGAAATGATTGACAACATGATTAGAAACATGGTAAGACCAATGGCTGCTGTCATAAGAGTCCGTGGATGACGCATATGTTACGACGATTTTCTATTGCAGCGAGAAAAAATTTGAAAATATACAGTTTATCAAAATTAAGAAAAATAATGAAAATTTCAAATTCAAAATCGAAATTAGTAAACAATATGTTCTACCACTAGTTAAGGGGCCACCTACAAGGAGTAATCCTGTAGAGCACTAGATACAAAATGACCCACAATGAGAGCATATTTCCGTTTCCTCCTCTCGCACTGATTTCACTTCTTATTGCCCATTTTATTAGAGGTAGTTTTATGTGTTGTAAATGTTTTCCTATCACGTTAACGCACAGTTGTATATAGCTGAAAAGTTACGACTAAATGATTAGTAGATTACGCAATTATTTGTCTAATTATACAGTATAGTGAAGGAAATGTTTGAAAAAATAAACTCTTTGAAAAGGGTTTATGCTCGGATTCTCAGAAATTGTCCAAAATCAATGTCAGGACCGTTCGATCGTTTACTTACTTAAAAGCCTTCGGTCCACAAGAAACATCATAATTCAGCTAGTGTGTGTTTTGCAATGTTTTTCTTTAGTGTTGTATTTGACTTCCTTTACGAAAATTGAAAATATATTGTTTTCCACTGAGAGAAATTGGCATGTTTCAGCTGAGACAATTCTTTAACATTTCGATATTGAAGTTCAATTTAGTTAAAAGTTAGGTACTTAACTGCGAAATAATGTCGCCTGGTCAATAAGGTCAAACTGAATTAGCATTATCGTCTAAAAGGCATTACCAATATTCAACATAGTGCAAATTCTCTTGATTTTTAATACACAAATACAGAGGTTCATAATTGAATGGACTGAACTACTGAGCACAAATTTTTATGTCGCCGAAACCACTATTAACATGGCGCACAAATCCTGACCTGATATAGAAGAAAATATTTCTAATTTACTACAATTGAAAATTACTGTTTTAATGAATAAAAATGTCGCAAATGAAATTTGGACAAATAGGTAACTCAACTTTTGAAATTTTACAATGGCTTACTGTAATTGGTACATTTGTTTTCGAAAGCAGCCACCAGAAAAAATCGATTATTTTAGACGTAGTATTATTGATAACAGTTAAGTATATTTTGCACCATCTTAATCCTACTTGTGTATTTCAATTAATTAACAATCTGAACTATTAGTTTGCATGTTAGTTCTCATAGATCTGAATTGTAAAGATTCATCCCACGTCACTGAATGATAGTTGCTAAAATGGAAAACAAAAACATGGTCTAATTATGATAAATTGTTGACAGTAAACACTGATACGACTGTATACCAGTAAATAATCATTAATAAACCCACCATCAATTTACAAAACACATAAACAAAATGGAGTTGCTAAAATGACCTTGCATTTATATTAATCTGAGAACACCCTGATCTGATTTTTTGTCAAATAATAACTATCAACTATGTACTTATAAAGTTGTAATTATAAAATTACACTAACCCGTAAATGATTACTCACAATCTGAGATAAATTCCCTTCTTTACTAATTCAATAAAACAAAACTACAAAAAACGGCTTTAGGAATAGTCGTTAAATGAACTATATCCTATCATCCACACCTGATACTATTTTTTAAATTATTGCCATCTATATATCAATTGGAAACAATTTTAAAACATATTTGTAAATTTTGAAGCAAAACTACAAATAAAATGTCCTAAATTCAGATGAGGGGCCAAGTAGCACACACAATCACTAATACGCTGACGTTTGCCATTAACCGAAATTATTTTATTTATTAGGCACAATTCGTGCCGAAACAAATAAGCTAAGTGTCGAAACTATTATTTACATTGTTTATTGTAGTACCAGCTTATAAACTTGAACCCATTAATGGTGGAAAAATAAAATAATTCCGACCGATCGTTATTTTGTAATAAATGCATTCCCTATGTGTTTGCCTTAATAAAAACATATAATATCATTTGAGAATCAATAAATGAAAATTGTTTAATAACATTCGTTGGCTTCTAGTACATATGAAACTCAAACTAAAAAAACAGAAGTGGTCCGAAACTATATAGATCTAAGGAGAATTTAGCATTGCCTTATGATACAAGACAAAACCGAAACCATACTTTCGAAAATTACTTGGCAACAAATAAATACAACATCATTCAACAGGAAATTAAAAGAACTGATATTAAACAACATTAAAACATTTG